CTGGTGTTGAACGGGGAATTACTGGCAAAGTTTGACGAAAATCACCAGACAATAATATTAAAGCGCCACCAAATATTTCTTGATTATTACGTAAATCTTTCAAAGTTCTATCCAATGCTTCCACTGATTTTTTTATGTGCCATTGTACATTCATCCCACACAATTAATTTGCATTGTTGCAAAACTCTTCCCATTCCAGAATTTTTTGAAATGTTACATGTTGGATTTTCATTAATTTGCATATTCAATGGTAATTTAAGTGCGGAATGCGCTGTACGGCCACCATCTAATAATGTAGCAGCTATTCCAGACGATGCAAGCGCTAATGCTATATTGTTTTGTGATCTTACAGTCGCTAATAACAACGAAATCAAAAACGTTTTACCGGTGCCACCTGGCGCATCTAAAAAAAACATTCCTCCACTTTTGTTTTGTATAGCTTGCATTATAGTGTCATATGCATGTTTTTGTTCTATATTCAATTTCGGCAGATTCAAATTTATAAATGTGTTAAGATCATTTATATCGTATTGTTGTTCACGTTGTATATCTTGATTAAATACGTCATGCATTGCTCGATTAGGAGGTGGTAAACCTAATTGTGACAATAATTTATTTGCAACTGCTAAGCATATATCTTCAATAATAATCAATACCTCGTTATACATTTCCAGTGTAATGAGTAATTCCTGATTTGCAGAAATACGACGCATTCTATTCAAGATATCTTCGGTCATATAATCACGATAACTTTGCCACAGTTGCAATGGATCAGATGGAAAACATGTTGCAACAATAATTGAAAATAATGTCCGTATTTGATGCGGTGTACCTGTTGCGGATGCATCTGCAAGTGTTGCATCCCAATGATTATCATCTTCAAGTAGATGCAATTCTTCACATGCTCGCCGGTAAGTTTGACAGAGGCGCCCATTAACTCTTTTCAAATTCAAAAAAGACGTTGGTCCACGAACATTAATTAATAAAAGACGCAAATAAAAACATTCAGCCTGGCTAGGATGCTCTGTATAAAGTCGTCCTATGGCGTCACTTTCAAAAACACCAGGATAACCATCAACAGGTTTTCCTCTTTTACGTCTTTCCCATGTCTTTGAACTTACATTCCATGTGTAATATGTTGGTACTTGTGAATAAAGCAGTGTTTTAGCAAATTGATCTCTTTCACATAATTTAAAAAAAGAAATTAATGTGGTTGATGGCGGTCGCTCTACAATTGCCTGAGCATTATCAACAGTAAAATACACACGCTGTCCATTTTCCAAATGAACTGCTAAATGAATAACAGCTGGACTACGGTCATGAATGGGGAAAGACAAAATTCGCCAAACTGCCTCGTTACTACTAATGTACCTGCCCATTTGGTATTGAGTTATTTCATCATTTCGGTTCTCTGCAACTCCAAAAACAGCCATGTCACTGCCTTTGTTAATATACTTGCAAATGTATTTAATCGATTTGACCGAATTACAATATTCTACATTGATATGAGCTTTGTACGCTTTCGATAGCAATGGCGAATAGGGAACTACCCATCTATTATCAATTTCAAAATCTTGACGATTCACTTGTAAAGTTATTGATTTGCCGTTATCCTGTGTTGAACGTCGACGATATAGAGGGTATCCATCATTTCCAGTAATTGTTTCAGAAATGAGTGCTCTAGGGTATCGTTTCGTACATTTGCCATCTTGCATACATGGTGAATTGACATTTATCACACCACACGGGCCATGTATCATATTTTTAGTGACAACATCAAATAAATCTGGATCAATTGTCTGATCCGGAATCTCAGCTGAGATTACATCATCTATTTGATCGGTTGTAATTTTGTCCACTAACCATATTAAAATATGCGCGTGTGGCAAACCTCTCTTTTGCCACTCGACAGAGTACATCCAGCATCTAACTTCTCCGTAAACTTTATATTTGACAATAAAATCCATAAGTGACTTGAGTTTTTGTCGAAATATTCTTGCAGTGATATCATGGCGATCAGTAGAAGATTGTCCGGGATACAAATATTTCTTAATTTCTTCCCATTTTGGATTGCACGTGAATGTTATAAATAAATCAGGCCGACCATAACAACGAACATAACATATGGCATCTTGTGCGTACTCATGCATATGATGG